CCAACAGCAGCAGGTCTTTAATCATTGACTGTGAATGAATGACCAGGTATTTTCCTTATTTTTGAATGACAATTTTTTCCCCCATTTTTTTAACTTTCCATTTCTGTAATCGCCTAGCAACGCTTTGTTTCCTTCAGGAAAAGACCAGCGAACAGCACACTTCTGTTAGATTAAATGCTTAAATGTCACAGTTCACAGAGCCATACTGCCTCAGGATAGAGCTGCATCACACCTGTCAGTCTGCAAGATGTTTCACCCTCACACACATTAAGCCTGGGTGTTGGGTTACGGTTCAGGGATTTGGTGACACACCTGTCTCTTCCTAGATCAAATCCATTTCACACTGGCCACACACAGGAGTGGAGAGAACCCAGCGTCCCTGGCGGGACCCTGATGCTGAACACTGTGTGAAATGCACCTCAAGGGCATTTATTGCCCCTGAAGGAAATTGAGGGAACTTACTAGCCATGGTTTAAGTGAAACAGCCCCAGCAGACTATCATCCTGTAAAAGTTTGATATGTATACGTTTTGTGTACATATCACATTTTTACTAGTTTGAAATAGATATACATTTAGAATATGCTGCATTTTTGCTGGACCCTATTGTAACGAGATGGGGTTTGTCTTTTTACACAAGACTAAGGTCTTGCATTCAGGCCGTGCTGTTCATCCTAGAGCGACCCAAAGTTCTGTGTAGGATCAAGTGACCTGCCTTCTCAGTGCAGTCCTCTGTACAGCTATCATTTCCACAGTTTCAACTAATATTGAAACAGAAACAGGGACCATTAGGACTTGTACTTCCATAAAAAGATGTATTTCAGTGCTGTCTATGAAAGAATGTCAGGTATTGGTAGTGTTTGTCCTGTATTAGTGGCTGGTTTAACACTGCACTGTATAGATCAATCCAATGAGACAAGTCCAATGATGTCCACTGAGGAAACCATGATGGTAGTTATTCGAACTGCAGACCAGTGGGTCAAGTACACTTAACAAGGGGATGGATGTGTACTTCACAAAGTCTTCATGGTGAAGTCTCACAGAGTCTCTTCTCCAAAACAAACCTCTCAAAAAAAGACTTTCTCCAACAACCCATGTCAAGTGCATGGGCTTGTTAGTCAGTCAGCCAGTCACTCCACTCCACTCCTTTCTACCACTGTGAGATAGAGGCTCTATTCACTTCCTGAAGAGAAAAACAAAAAAAACAACAACCCAACTGGAAGCCTTCACTTCCTTGCTTCAACTGTTACCTTGACCAATTGTCTTCTGTCAACTGGTGACTAAGGATGGCAGGTCATTCCTCACTGCCTGAAGGAAAATGTGGTTACAGCCAAGAACCTCCATCTTGTCCAAGATAACCAACATCTTACAGACCATACCTGAGCCTATTTCACATAAAACCTGTATAAACTCCAGTTTCCTGCAAAGGAATAATAAAACAATTTAAGATTTTTTTACAAAAAAAAAAACTATGCGATAATCCTAAAATCTTTATGACATTTTAAGAGCATGTTTCACTTCTCTCTTTTCCCGGATTTCGAAAAGCAGCCTTTTCTCTTCTGAAAAAAAAAGACACAAGCTAAAACAATGGGTTCTTCTATTCATATGCTTTGCTATTAATTATTAAGTTATTTTCCTGTCAATAGATAATTTAGTTTTAAGAGCCTTTGAGTAAATTCAATCAATTTCAAACTGTCAAATAGTAATTCAGAAGTGAACAAATCTAACAACCATGAACACTGATGCACAAAAGAAATGTAAACTTATATATATTCAATGTAAAGGTCCATTGGATATTATCATATCTTTTAAACAGATGAACCTATTTCAGATGGACAAGATGAGGTGAAAAGATGAACAAGAACACAAAATGTGAATAAAAACATCCATGAAAGGATCATGAGTCATGTTCAATATGAAACATAACATACTGCGAACATGCCAACACTGCCCGCTGAGTACAGCATCAGGCTTGACCCATCTGAACCACGAGCAGCAGGTTACCCTCCTGCTGCACAGCGGTGTTCTTGTGTTAAAGGAGGCTGCTCTCCACAGCAGCTCACTCCCACTCCTGAGCGAACGCCACACCTCAACGCCCTGCGGCGACCGCTGACGCCAGCGAGCCTGTCTCTCTGCTGCACACAGGGCCCCTGCACAGCCTCTGGACATGGACACTTTCGACGCTACGGTCATTCTGCCGATGCCCAGGTTACTTCTTCCTGGAACCTCTCGTGCTGTAGCTACTGCAGGCTGTAAACAGTTACTGCAGGAAACTGCCCCAGGTGGGTGTGCTGATCCCAGGCTGCTGGGGTGACCCTCTGCTCTCTTGGATGTACAGCAGTGTGGAGCACTGGCCCCTGAGCAGCCTGTGAGGGCGAGAAATGCAGATCGGTCTCATGCACACATTGAGCTGAGGTGCTCGTTATTTTTTCCTTGAATAATTTCTCATGTTGTCGTTACTGAGGTCAGAAACAGCTCTGGATCGGATGGATTTTGTGTTTCTGAGACAGTGAGGTGCCCCTCTGCCTGACCCTGGCAGAGCTGGTGTCCTGGTTTCTCTGGACAAGCCTTTCAGCCTTTTGAGCGCTGGAACAGAACGTCTCAGTCTCCGGGCAGCTTCCATCATGGACAGCCTGCCCTCAATCACAGCCGTGGACACCTTCATTACACACGGAGGACGTGGTCCCATCTCTCACTGTCCAATTCATGTTTTTATCACACGGCTCACTACTCAGATTCTTAAGCAAGAATCCCTCAGATCCTCAGTACCTGCCATTCCTATGAAACTGCATACCGCGAGCTCACTATCTAGTCATCCCAAAGAACACACTTATGAAAAGAGTAATATAATTGATTTGTCCAATAAGCTACCTTTGTAAAACTCAGAACGTTGTGTTTTCACTAGGCATTGGTTAAGAATTATATTAACATTAAAGTTTAAAATAATGACAGATCTACAATGGGGCTTTTTTATCTCCATTCCAGTCCTATAGTGGTGATGGCATTGCGCCCTGTGTACAATTCACAATAATGCAGCTCAGTAATGGTTTCTACAAAAAACAAAACTGTTTTTGAGCTGCTACAAAGTTTCAGAGGCTCATGTCTGTACTCCAAGTCGCCATGGTGATGCAACAGAGAGGGTGCTGTTGCCAAGGAGACAACAGCGGACCATATGCACAGCTGAAGAGTGCTCGACACCAAGCGGTGGGACAGAGATCAAATTGTCTGGGGGTGACGGAGAGCACGGCTTACTCTGCAGCTCCTGCTTCTGCCCCATGCTGGTCTCATTTGTCCCACGGCAGCTGTCCCCTGCCCATCCAACCCCCACAACCACCCCTCTCCTGTGGCGGAGTCGAGGGGTAGCATCTCCATGGCAGCCGTGACTGTCCTGGGCCAGCCAGCAGGGCCGTCAGTACCCCTCCACCAGGAGAGGGCAGCTGGTGTCAGATGTGCTTGCCAGGCCTTTCTGCCTGGCCGTGCTGTGCTGTGCTGTGCTGTGGGTCTGACTCTGACTCTGGCTGCGCTGTGCTGCGCTGTGCTGTGCTGTGCTGTGCTGTGCTGTGCTGTGCTGTGGCTCTGACTCTGACTCTGGCCGTGCTGTGCTGTGCTGTGCTGTGGCTCTGACTCTGACTCTGGCCGTGCTGTGCTGTGCTGTGCTGTGCTGCGCTGTGTTGCGCTGTGCTGGGCTGTGCTGTGGGTCTGACTCTGACTCTGGCCGTGCTGTGCTGTGGCTCTGACTCTGACTCTGGCCATGCTGTGTCGTGCTGTGCTGCGCTGTGCTGTGCTGTGCTGCGCTGTGCTGTGCTGTG